CATGGCTTAAACAAGTAGTGAAGGTATAGGTTTTACAAGCTGACTGAATAAAGTGTTAACACCCAACTATTTAAGCTTGTAGGAACAAAGGGATATTTTGAGAACTAGTTACAAAGAGTGGGACGGAACAGCAAGATCTATTTCGACAATTGTGTGTATAAGTGTTAAAGCCTTTATATGCATATACTTTATTTGACAATAGTTTTTCATTCCTACCCACACTTCACTAACTCCTTTTATTCACATGTATCACGTTTAATTTATAGGTCAACTAAGGTCATGTTTGTTATTTTATCTACCACTTCGAATTCAGTAAAATTTCTTTGATTTTTTTTACCTTCTACCACGGTAGTTTTATTTAACTTCTGTAATCGACAACCAGCATCTTGATTTTTTGAGTTTGATGGCTAGTTCTTGAGTTTGCTGATTTGATCCGTGATTTATGAATAAAATAATTTTCTTTACTTTTCATGGCCTTTCTATATTCCTTAATAATTAGTCATTGTAATGTTTACCGAAGATTTTTTACTTGAAACTATGCAGTTTGGATGTACTGACTTTCAAGGTAGAGATGATTAATTAAGGCTTCGTTTGCAAACAGATTTAGTTACTATTTAGGTTTTTCATAGTCTCACTAAATTTTTACAACCACTGTTATTGACGATAAAGTTTTACTCAAGCCAACCTTGAATTACCTTGAACACTAGATCGCAGTTTACGCTGGTTGTCTCTGGCCAAATGCACTCGCTTCATGTTTTATACCTCATTCTCTATCAATTTGCCGACGAAATATCAGGTATTTTAATTACTTACTGCACGCATTTTCAGGTTGTGATTTTCACATCATCTAGGATAACAATACGTTATTGTCCTGAGTTGTATCAGACACTTTAGGATTACCAGTTACCTACTATAGCGGTGGACTTACTTTCTAAACCTATTGAGCACATGGACACTGGTAATTTGGAAATTATTCTTACATGACGCACTGATATTCCTTTGGAGTTCTTTTTAACTTGTTTCTTTACGTTCACCTTTGCAAAACGTTACTAATTTCTAAATATTTTTCATTTTAGCCCTCAAAGGTTCAAAACCGTCTGAGTATTCGCATAAATTGTGTACATCGTGTTTACCTTTACGTTAAATAGCACTACTGTTATAAACCAACTGTTGTATTTAAATTTATTAAAGGATTTTGGTACGTAACTCATAGAGCGTAGAATATATGGGGATTTTAGTAATCATGGTTCTTGCACTTATCACACATCGGGTTAAACTTACTATGTCACTGCAAGGTAGAATCAAAAGGAAGAAGACCATAGTTAAATGAGCAACCCCTCAATGAAGACCTTTCTCTAACAGGTTTTCCTGTGATCGGATTTCGGAAGCATTTACTGCTAAGAATTGTAATGGTTGTAGCTTAGTTTAGAAGCTTTACACATTTATGTTTGTAGTCTAGGGTGTAGCTGTAAATAAATACCCAAAATCAATAGCTCATTAAGTGTTCGACATTGGATGCTGACCACGTTGTTTAAGTGGACTTGTTTAACTGAAGGCTTTCGGTCATGCATCCGTACCAGATCACGTTTCGACTCAGCGTGGGACACTGCTCCTACGTTCACTAGCCAGCTTAGAATAAACGCTTCGCGATATATTGATGACGTATCAAATATATCTTTCCTACCTCTTCTCGTCTGACTTCTGACTTCCATTGGTCGGGGAAAAGATTCGCATATAGAAGGTGCTACTGGTAGCAGGTTGTAAAATCAGAATACTAGTCGTGTCTTCAAGGGAATAAACTCCACGAGCTGGGGGTTTTAGTGAACTGGGTAAAATTACTCGTCATAGTTGTAAGTAGAACGTAGAAACTTAATAACTTCTACACTACTCCAGAACGTATGAGTTACAGTCACTTAAGAAGTGGTAATAATCAACAAAGGGAGGGGTTCTCATATACATCCATAATAATATGGATACTCTGTCACTTCGATGGGGCAGTTGTGGAGTCACTAGTCGTGGACTCACTTCCGAAGATTTTACATTTATGCCAGTTGCCATCTAGCAGAATCTGAACCGCCCAGTCGAAGAGTCTGTTTTAAAAAACCACGTTGAGCTCCGGCGCGAGACAAATGATGCTTGATATTACATCTAAGCGACCTGCTTAAATATCTGGACTACCTGTTCCGGTCATCTAGATATTACTACAAGTTATCTGTTTCCTTGTTTGTTTTAACAGGTCATTATGTCATTTAACTGCATAACATATTCAGGTGTGTTTGTAAAAAGCTTGCGACCATTCGCTGTACAAGTTACAAAAAAGTACAATGGGAGACATGGTGATGGCAGGCAACATGCATTGAAAAGAATGAATATTATTCAGATGTGAACTTCTGAAATGCTAATATTTGACTGGCGATCACTCATTATATATCGTCAATATCAATCGAGAAATAAGAAACGGAAACTCACCGAAATACTTTGTGCTGAGAATTCAATATTGCACCAAAAATATAATATTGAATAAAACTAGTAATGAATATAAAAAATAATGTTCCCGATATAAACTGAAGAGATCTGTAGAATTGAAGTCTACTTCGTCACTGGTATTATAATGATAATTGACCTAATCCTAAAATTGTAGATATGTCATGATGTAACTGTTTAACCTGTTAGAGCTTACGTGGGAGTCACATCATTGTCTACATTGACTCATCGTATCATAACATTTGATAATATTATGTCTGGAGTTTCCAAAGGACACATTAGGGCTAAAGATAGAATGATATATTGCGACACGATACCCGACGCATGTGAGATAAGATTTGAAATTTGGGATCCTTGAGGAGAGCATTTTCAGGTAGGAAGAGAACATAGTTCAAGGGTTTCAACGGGGATCAAAGTGGTGAAAAGTTTGTCGGACCTTTCTATTAAAGATAGACTGAGGTGTCTCAACCTATTTCCGCCACCTCACCACAGATCTCGAGTTGACTGATTGGTGATAGTAGTTATGATATTCTCTCATCATCGTTGCAAGAAAATTCAGGTTTACTAGCTGAATCAGATCTGCAAAACGTTGAGACTTTATCGAACTGTTTTAGTAAAGTCTACTCTATGTGTATTGTTAAAAAAGTTTGTCCTAATCTCACCGTTGAGGCACCAGCCACAGAACCTGTACATGTGACTGAGGAAACCGTTTTTCCATTGATCACTGACCTGAAACCTTGTGGGTTACTGGGGTCTGATAGGTTACACTTACAACTGCTGTCTTGAGGACATTATTTCTAGACCACTCGCGATGCTCTTCATCATGCCCCTTTCACCTACTCAACCACTTAGAGATTGTAAAGATGCTATAGTCCTTCCTATATTTAAAGATGGCCAGAGATAGACTGCATCTAACTAACGACCTATCAGTCTAACCAGCATAGTCGTTAAGTTACTTGAAAAGATACTTCGGGTCAAGATACTAAGTAGCATAGATCCGTACAATCTGTTAACTCCCAAGCAACATGGGTTTCGAAACAAGCGTTCGTGCCTGACCAACTTATTTATTGCGAGAGAGGATTGGACAGCAGCATTAGATAACGGACTGTCTGTCTACTGATGTGATATTCACAGACTTTAGCAAGGCGTCTTAGCTCTCGAGATTCTGAATAACAGGTGCTGTACATGAATGGATAAGAAACTTGTTATGTGACCTCAGACAGAGAGTGAGAGTTAATAGAATCTTATCTGAATGGAAGCCAATCAAAAGTAATGTACCCCAAAGCACTATCCTAGATCCCCTACTTTACCTTCTCCATGCCAATGAATTACCGCTATCGTTTGAGTCATCGACATTATTGTTTGAGGATGATGTCAAAATCTGGAGAGCGATAAGAAAGGAGGCTGGTCATTTTCATCTCCAAGCTTAGACGAATTAGTTGGATGGGCTCGTGGTTGCGGCGTAGAAGTTAATTCCAGGAAGAACGTGCTCATACATATCGGGCACGGTAATAGTTACCATTATACTATTGATGGTACATTTCTTCCACGCGTTCAAGAACATAAAGGCTGAGAAGCAATAATAATTCACGACTTGAAAATAACTAAGCATTGCAATGCAGCTGCTCCCAAAGGGTCGCATGCGTTTTGGTCACTTCACTGAGCATTCAAATTCTTTGACGAAATGTTCCGAATTTTATATCCCACTTATGTAAAACCACATTTAGAGTGCTGTGTTCAAGCGTCTGGCCCGTGTTGGATTATTGATACTAACTCACTTGGACGTGTTCAGCGTGTGGGAATAAAATTGGTGAAGGGTCTTTCTAAACTCCCTTACTATTGTAGGGAACAGAACACTGGTTGGGGACAATCGAATGTATTTAAGCAAAGATTACAGACTATCTCAGTAAATTCTGAAAACCATACAATGTACAGTCAATTTGCAAATTAACAACCAATAGTCTCGATCTTCACTGTTTCTTCTCTAATTCGATTGTTCGTGCATTTTCCTACAGAGTGCGCTTTGTTTCAGTTCTTTCGTCATCGGTCTTCTGCCAAAATACATTCTATGTCTGACCCACACCATATACTACTTATATGGATATAAGTAGATCACACCACACTATGATCTTAAAACGCCTGGACATTTTCCCGTTTTCATATCGTAGGTCGTGAGGTGGCCTTATATTATCATTTCGTATCTTTAATTACGATTTTAGTGTTAACATATCCTATATTTTTGTTCCCATCAGCACTAATAATCTCCGAGGTCATAGCAAGGAGGTTCTCAAACCGCGATCTAATAAACTTAGAGTGGGGTTCCGTTTTTCTCAGCCCCAACAGTGAACATTTTCAGGAAAAAGCTGGACGTTCACTGAAAAGCAAACTGTCAGGATTGGTACAGGTCCATCAACCTACTATCCCTATTATTGAGTACTGAAAATGGAATGTTTTTCGTTTGTAGGTCAGTGTGTGTGTGCTGATTTTGATCTTCAGGGTCGCGCTCGCGGCAACTTATGTCTTCGGAGAAGATAGAGTCGTTTCTGAGTCAATTATCCAATACAGACCTATCTAAACTGCCTGAGCTTATTCAGTCTATCACTGAATGTCCAGGTTTGATTTCTGGTTGGACATATGCCTTTATTTTCTCGAGGTTTGTTCGTCTTTGGGGAGTTTCTTGATCATCCAAAAATTAAATCGATTGAGAATGGGGAATATTCTCAGTATTATAACTTAATGAACTTATTCTGCTACGGCACGTTTGAATTACTTTCTAACAATCGGTTTGCATATCCTGATTTACGACCGACCCAAGTTCGGAAGCTAAAGCAGCTCTCAATAATTGATGAAGCACATAACCAGAAACACATACCTTATGATCTTTTGTTTAAGAAGCTCGACATTACGTCTTCAAGAGAACTTGAAGACCTTGTTATTGAACTTTTTTACCTTGAAGCTATAACAGGAAAACTTGACCAACAGAAAGCGTTGTTAGAGGTAAACTCTGCCATTGGACGTGATATACGTATAGAACAGGTAAGATGATAATATATTTGACCATTTAGCAGATAGATGAACTGCATCAAAAGCTGGATTCATGGAACGTGCGAGTCGAGTCTGTATTGGCTCATATAGCTAATGAAATAAAGTTGGTCAATGATCGGCGATATGAATCAGAGTTACATCAGAAGGAAATTTTAGAAGCGTCATTGTCTATCAAAGAGGCCTTGCGTGGCCAAATGGCAAAAACAGACGTACGTTTTCCTGCTTGTGGTTGTAAGACAACAAAACAGTAGTGGGGAACTTTGACGGGCCTATGGTTTTGATATACTTGTTTGTTTTATGTGTGATGTATGGAAATAAACCCTCTAGTAGTAATTTGCAGAAGCTGTTGGGTCAATATACCGCCTCCACGCCATCACATATTCAGCAATATATGATGTGATTCAAATATAATCGGATGTGTCGTGATCTTAAAATTATCTATTTTCCTTTTTCAAGGGATTTCAAACTGATCTATTTAAGGTATTGACTTATATAGAATTGACGGAATCTTTTCTAATCCACAAACCCACTAGTTGCTTCGTGGGCATGTTAAGAGTTTTTTGTATTCGTTATCTTTATCGATGACCGAGGGCAAATGAATTAAGTAAGGACTAAAATCCAAATGTTATTGAATATATATTTCACTGATTGAATTCACTAGCATGTACAGTAGTAGTAAACAATAAATTTATAGTTGGATTGAATAGGCACAACTGGACTAAAATAAAATCAGTATTGCATGAACACCAGGTAGAGGCCTCTTTGTAATTGTATTCCATTTATATTGACACTGACACTTAGGGTCACCAGTAATGGTATTAGAATATAAATAACAGTGGTAACGGAACAACCGGCAGTTACGTTGTTATAAAGTAAATCCGTGACCAAACTAGACTGGTATAATTTGAACTATCATGATATGAATACAAGCTGTCCGGTGTCAATTAGCCAGATTATCAGTCAATCAGTCAGCTACAACATAGGACCAGGCACATATATGCATCAGTCCAAGATGTCATACCTCATCAGCACAACAAGATGAACACCGAATTCATAGAATTTAATGGTGATAATATATAAAAGGTTGTATATAAGGATATAGTACAGTCAGCGTGTCAATTACTTATAGATCAATATAATGATAGAATATGACTAACGGTTATGTAAATAGACACAATCAGCAAAATGAATATTAGGATTCACATATAAGGCATTCGAATTAATCACACAACTGAGCATAAATTGATCGATAGAATGGAACTGATGCATTTGACAGTATCGTGTTCCAAAATGAATATACAATTATGTTCATTTAACATGTCTGTATTAGCTACCATAGAGGTCCATGTGACTGAACATCTCTCCAGGTCTTAGTGTTGTAGCATAAAATATGCATCTTTTTGCAGTGGAAGTTAGAGTAGCTTACTGAAGTTTTGTGCTGTTACAACGTGTACTAAATTAACCGTTTGGCTCGTTTATTAGTGTGCTTTATATAGGTGGATATTATTTCTAATGCATAAGAGTACTTCAAGGATGATAGATGTCCTATTCCCTGAAGTATGCTAGCAAAATTGTTGATAATCGGGACTTTTTAAGCTTCAAAAGATTCATTATATACTGATAGATTGACTGTAGGAGTTAAATTTTGCCATTTAGTTTGTTCGGTATGTGGATTAAAATTCAAATCTGTGAATTATGGTACTACAAGTTCTTGTTCCATTTTGTAGGCTCAAAGTTTACGGATGGATATGGACGACATACTTATTCATCCAGATTTATTAGAAAGTCGTGTAGAAGCAACTCGTCAAAGTTCAAGCAATACTGAAAGTGTTGGCGATCGTGATGTTCGCAGTCGAATAACTGTTTTTAAAAATCTCCGACATGGCAAATCTTCCAAACAACAGTAATGTTTAACAACTGAGAACATGTATGATTTGATATTCTGTGTAAAACTTTTATAAATTACTGCAACTCAGAGTGCTGCGTTTTACCTTGAATTTTTCGAAATATCAGAGTTTTGGATATAAAGCAGTCAATTTATTATAAATTTTTCTTAAAGCAACTTTTTGAAAATAAAACCAGAATTCTAGGTAGTTGATCATTTTCATACTAATCAAAGTCTTGGTAAATATCAGTTGATAGTACAGTTTTGGGGATAAATTGTCACAACATCGTACTTCTGAATGAACTTTTTTCATTAAGTATGTTTTTTATATTTTCCGCGAACTGCATTTTGATTATCGAGTCTTTACTTTGAGGTGGAGAAAATTAACTGGACATTTTTACTAATATTTAACGTGATATCCGCATTTTATTTTGTTACTTATTAGTGTTTTACTCTGGGCTTCTCCGTTGACTTGAACTTGTACAGTCAGTTCCTTAAGTCATAGTATTACCACAAGACATTTACTCCAAACTGTGCTTATTGTATTCAGTGATTAGGAATGCTGCGTTTCCGTCTAAATATCACTGGGTTCTGGGGTTTGATATTTATTTCTTTTATCAAATGTGTAAAATGTATAAAAATGTTTTTTGATTCTTAACCACTGAAGGATTCAAGTCATGACTTTAGCTGTTAGCATTAAGGAATGCAAAAGTGTAGTCTGTTTTTCACAGTTCCAAGGTATGCATATAGTATATAAAACTAATCATCTGTACCGACAAAGCTGTACTGGCGTATGATATCCTTGTTTATACTTTTTCTCTTTGCTAAAGCTAAACTCCTCACTATCTTAGTCTTAGCATTGACCTGTAATAATATTTAATACACTTATATATTAAATGTTTGCTATATAATCAGTTTTTTCTACCTCCGCACATATCTTCAGAAACTATTCTCAACAGATTAGTGGTAGTACTGTGGAATCTACGTAGGGTATGTATCACGCTTGGATCTTAACTATTCCGTCCCTGGATCGATACATACTTGTTCCAGGTACTACTTTGTCTATGACTGACTGGTTTCATAATGATCGTCTCAACTGTTCGATTTCACAGCCGCTAACGTGTACTACTTTAGTGAAAAAACTAAGGTGGGGAAGACCAATTCGTTTTTAAGGCAGAATTACACATTGACTTAGTTAGATATGAAGATCATACATTAAGTACATTCTTTGCACATCTTTGCGTTGTCCTTTACCTACCTCATCATTCATTTAATCCTGTTGTTATTTCTATTGCCCGTCTTTTGCCTTTCTATTCTCTTCAATTTTATCTTCTGTTGCCAGGCATTCCACTCCCGGTTGCGGCTACATACTATTTATATCTGCCGGCATGGGTAGCATACATCACACTATCATCTGATTTTATTCTCAGTCTAAAGCAAATTGATATGGAAGGGGTTATAGGACAGGTTATGTTATGGTGATGTTATATATTTGTATTTGGCACATATTGTTTGAGAAATTGATTGTGTGTCTGCAAGTTCTAAAGTGTTTTATAAAGCTTATCGACTTCAAGTTTTCATTTGATGTCTAATCAACGTCCTTCAAATATCTGGTAAAGTGAAATAAACTGACCTTGGTTCTAACTGGGTCAAACTCGCTTATAGCCGCGTCAGTAAGATATTTCATTTGAGATGCAAAAGCATATCACACATAACTGTCTCTATCTGATCAGAATAGCGAAATTATGTTTATTTGTGAACATGAATAAGAATTTGAGATCTTTGGGTATAGTCAATGTGGTTTATAAATTTATGGATACTTTACGTAGATCCTTTTGATGGTGGAGTCATTTTTAAAAATAAATTCATATTTGTGATTCCTTGAAATTATTTATTTCGAGTCATTTTATAGTCGTAAATGGTGGTTTAGTCTACCTTACATTCGTTTAATATTATTTGTGTGAATTCTTGTTTATAGTTCTAATGGTACCCCTAATTTTGACACAACCACATAGCAGTGACCTTTGTAATCTGTGTTGTGATCGCTGTAGCTAAAAGTGATGGTACAACAATTTGTTGAGTTAGCTGAAACCAGACTTCGGTAGAATTTTGGTCAAATTCTACAATAGATTGTTAATCCATCTCTAATCAAATGACACAATGATCTTTTTCACTAACACAAAAGCTGTCAAATGAAGTTTTCAGTAATTTCTAGATCATAGATATTTCTGACCACCGTCACCAGATTTTACAGTTTCATCAATCAGTTAAAGACATTTTGACAGTTAAAATTTAATAGAAGTTTCTTGTGTGAGACCCACGCATAAAATTTCGGATTCTATTCAGGGACCTGAGAGATGGTACGGTTCGTGGACCCCATGATCACAGGTCACACGGGTGTTCAGTTGTGATTCTACCGAGTTTGAGTGCTGGGAACTGCAGAGGAAGGAATGTGAGGGGGAGGAGCTCTTTCAGTTAAAATGATCTCACCAGCTAAATAAATTGACTGTCGAAACAGTAGGTTTTGAAAATGTAACAGTTTGTGCTTGATTTATTTGTTTTCTATGTTGTTTATTCCAGAAAAACGTCTTGTTATTATGACTTGTTGGTAAGTGATAATAAAAATAGTGTAATTAGTTTGCTGGCTATCGTAGTTAGATGTTGCTATATTTACTTGTATCTTGTATTTATGTATTCTATTTGTGTAGAATAAAACTGTTGGTGCGCATTTCATACAGCGAATAATTTTTCAAATACATTCCGTCCCCACATACTTTTATTGATTTCCAAGAGACATGTGAAATACAAGAAATGTTAAAAATAAGATGAATATTTCGAAAGGGATTCTTTACCTGTTTATAAATACTAATCTAACACTATTTCATGTTTACTTGGCTGTAGTTCAAAAACATATATACTGGGGAATCATTATAACATTAGTGTTGAAAACAGTATGGATAGATAATTTGTCAGCGAAAATATAGGAAAACTAACACTGCTTCAGTTAAAGTAGACGATATAAAATATGATAAGGTCATAGACTGTCTAGAAATACAAACATAAGTAACAACTGAAAGAAGCATGACAATTCCACAGGTCTTTGGGTGAAAATTCAGTTAGTTTGAAATTAAAGCATGAGATCTCTGTGCTAACTCAACTATGAGTCTCTAGCCAATGTGACTGCTGTGATGCCGTTGACGTGACTTCACAAACACTACAGTTTATTATTATTTTGGGATGTTTAATGACTCAAATCACTGATCCACTATCCGTCAGACAACGTAAAATCAAAAGTTAAATGTGAAGGTTTATGGAACAGTGCTTTTTTGGTTTACCTATATATCTGAAAGCGTAAATCAGACATAAGAAATCAAGTAGAAAATCAATCGATAGGCAGACAGACTGACAAACAAAAACATTACAGGATTAAGTTAAGCGTGCATACAAAATAAGGCCCCTACAGAGTTAATCATTATTTTACAGATGATTCCTAAAAACAAAAAGGTATGCAATAAATCTAAACTGAATGTAGTCAGGGCTATAAAATATAAGGCTATGCCATTGAGACCGATTTTGATTCACTTGAAGTCTCCAATCGTAGGTTACGATTATCAGTGAGCCTGTACATCTACAACTGATGTGTATATTCCATCGATATATATATATATATATAATCTGCGTGTATCTCTGATAGAAGAAAATGTAATCTAAAAACATTTTTATTTTCAATGGAAAGTAGTAAACACAGAAAGAAAACAAGGATGCATTGTCACTCTCAATAGTCTATATATTGCTATGTCCAATACTCTTCCCGAATAAGTTATAAACTATGCACAATATTAATGGTGATAAAATGATATTCTGCATAGAAAAAGGAAAATCTTATAGAGTTAATAAGCAATTATAATACAAATAGAAATATATTTAAGTTTTAATTTAAAGTCTAGTAAAGAAAAACAAACGAAAGTATCGTCTTTTATGTTGGATGAGTTTTCCCTGATTATTTCTCACGGAAGGCAAAACAAAACAGGAGAAAGGAGAGATTTAATTTGATTTTGTTCAAATATCGTTTTGCAGAATTCCATTTTCTCAAACTTGTGCAATATTAGCTGAAATAAACATAGGTCAAATAGAAATAAATGTATAATCTATGGTTTACGTAATATTTTGTCATAAAGTGACTAAAAATAATTGTTATTATTAGTAATTAACTGAGTACTGGGTAGATTCGAGATGTACATTTATTTTGTTGTTTAACTAGTGATAGACAAGAAATTTATGCATGAAAAGGGTCATATGAATCAGCTATATAAGTTTTCAGTGATATTCTAAGTTAAGACAATTATCCATTTATGAAAAACAGGAGTTTGTAGATTTGAAAATTCTTATTCACTGCGAATCATATGATCATAAAGCCTTCGACTGGTGAGAAGACATATTAGGAGTGAATCTATATAGATAATTTGTACTTACATTTTTCTAGCTTTTCATGGAGAACAACTGGAAAGAGATTAAAGAAGCACAAACTTCAACGTACCAGGAGGTTCCAGACTTCAAGAAACAACATACAGAATATATTTCTATTGAAACACTGAGCAGTTGATAAAGAACAGATAAAGCCAAGGCACAAACTGAATACACAAAAGCAAATAAACAAGTGGAGAAGGGCATCGGAGCTGACAAGCAAAATTATGTAAAAGACCTAGCAACGACAGAGGAAACAGCTGCAACAGAGGGAAATATCGAATAACTATACAACACAACGAATAAACTAGTAGGAAAATACGGTAAGCCAGAGACAAAAAAAGGCAAAACAATCACTGAAATTTGAAATCAGAGGAAGAGGTTAGCAGAATACTTCGAGGAACTGCTGAATAGACCAGCCCCATTGAATCCACCGGACACCGAAGCAGCACACACTGACCTTCCCATAGATGTCACTCCACCAACGATCGAAGAAGTCAAGATGGCCATCAGACAAATCAAGAGTGGTAAAGCGGCAGGACCTGACAATATACCAGCTGAGGCACTGAAGTCAGACATTCAAGTAACTGCAAACATGCTTCACCTTTAGTCAAGAAGATTTGGGAAGAGGAACAAGTGCCAACGGACTGGAAAGAAGGATACCTCATCAAGATACCAAAGAAAGGAGATCTGAGCAAATGTGAGAGCTACATAGGCATCACACTGCTATTGGTACCAGAAAAAGTTTTCAACAGAGTGCCGCTGAACCAGATGAAGTATTCAGTAGGCGCCCAAATTCGAGATCAACAGGATGGACTCCGTGAGGATCGGTCGTGCACAGACTAAATTGCGACACTACAGATCATTGTTGAGCAGTCAATTGAATGGAATTCGTCACCATACATCAAGTTCTTTGATTATGAGAAAGCGTTTGATGGTGTGGATAGGAGGACATTATGGACACTATGGTGTATCTGAGATCTTCAACATCATATGGAATTAATACGACGTTCTGCTCTGCAAATTCGTGCGTGGAAGACAGCTGACAGATGCGTTCCAAGACAAGACTGCTTACTCTCCTCCTTTCTCTAATAATGTTGTCGGTATTTAAACCATCTAGCTCGAAAACCTTAACGGCATATATATATATATATATATATATATATATATATATGCAGTTATCATAGTGCTCCGCTTCAAATGTTCGGTTATGATATTGGATGTGCTCTTCACTCTAGTTGTTATGATCTCTCTTATTGCTTAGAATTCTTTGGACACTGCGTCACTCTACAAGTCCTCAAAACAGAACACGGTTGAACAGAAACGTAATTATATTCCACACAAACAATACTGAATGGGAGTAGGAGTCACCATAGGGAAAACGTTAGAATCTTAATAATTTTACACTAGGAGATTCTAGATTCTTCTTCAAGTATCTGCTGCGTCGATTGTCTAAGAAATGGCCAATCAACGTGCTCCGACAAAATCCTTCACAGAACGTGCTTTTATCAAATCTATATCTCGCTAACGGGAGTTATCCTCACCTATTATGTAGTCAACCTAAAATAGGGCAACGTTTGACCGAGGAGGAATATGAATTTTTCTAAGTCACCATACTTTCCGATAAAACGACAAAAATGGAGATAAAACCAGAAGCATTGAGATGGTATTTATTTGAAATGCAGTGAAAAGCTAGACGTAAAATATATGGTTCAGAATGAATATCTGAGATTTAGGAGTAAAATTGTTTGGCCACTTCATATAAGGTTTTGAACCATATACCACGATTATTGTTGAGATGCCAACTAGGAAGTCTGCCATGCTCGACGTGGCTCAGGTAAACAGTCAATGAATTAATGACCTGTAGCTATGTCTTGTTCCATCTGCTCTTTGTAGTCTTCCAACCGAACATAATGATAATTAGCACAGCTCATCAGCTTAAGTTGGTTTTATTGGATGAAGACTTATTACTTGCTTCATGTTGATTAAACTCAAGGACTATACTCTTATCACAGTATTTAAAGTTAGGTAAGATTTATTACTCAATGTTGTGGGTTGGTCGAAGTTAAACTTGTATATCATTGGATCCCGACCCAGTGATCGAGAGCTTAAGCGTTCGCGTGCTACACCAAAAGTCCTGAGTTCAATTCCTGGTTTCGAGTATATGGAGTCGCAGTGCTGAGTAATCCGATAACAAGATGAAACATCCGTCCAGTGTTTCCAGGTTTTCAGTGGCTGTTGACAATCCACACTTTATTCTTGTTAACAGGAGAATATGGATTATTTATCTAAATTTTCTGTTAATATATATATATATATATGATATTCTAAGTTCCAGAACAACCATGGCTTACCAATATATGAAACTTGTTTACGCACATCACACGCTTCATTCTACCGTTAATAAATAAATAGAGAAATCAACATTATCAATAAAAATAAGATAAATACAAGTTAAGAGAATGATAATTTAGATAGACTATTCATAACAACTAAAAGATAGGTGCTGTAAATATGAAGTTTCAGTGTGAGTTTTTACATATGATAACTTTGTTTAAACCACAATGCATTACTTGGATTTATTTATTCTAATAGTTTTGTTAGAATTCGCTGTTGATAACAAATTGAGTTTAAAGCGTACATTTAGTTCTATTGATAAACTATAAGGTAGATTTTTGTAGTGTGATGAGTGTTAAAACCTTAACTGGGATTCTAACTCAATGCATTTATTTTTATTAGGAAAGCGCATTTTCAGTCCTACTGTGGTGTGGGTTACTTATATCCACATAAGTAGTATATTACGATGCTCGGGCATTCAATGTATTTCAGTAGAAGATCAAGAAGGAAAGAACGGGAAGGAAGCGCAATTGGTATGAAAATGCATGAACAATAATAATCGGAGACAATGAACTGGTATTTGCAGAAGGAACGGTCAAGATTAAGACAGTTGATTAATAGTTTGCAAATTGACTACTTACTATATGGTTCTCATACTCGACTGAGATATTCTGTAAATTTCTGCTCGAATACATTCGATTGTCTGCACTCGTTTTCTTGTTCACTATACTACTTTTAGTCATTCTAAGATAATATCCCAATATTATATTATGTAGTATCTAAGTATTTGTTCAAGAACATTTATGAGTAGGAAGACTAGTCAATTCAGTTCGCGCGCGAAACTGATAGGTCCTGGGTTCGAATGTCGCGAGTGCGGGATTGTGGATGCGCGCTGCTGAGGAGTCCCATAATAGGATGAAACGGTCATCCAGTGCTCCCAGGTTTTCCATGGTGGTCTAGCTTCAAATAATTCATGATCTCAACTATTAAAAATTCATCCATTTATATAATGTAAATACAATTTTTTAAACTTAAAAATAACTGAACGTTATATCATGATGTATGGAATATTAAAAAAAAAAAAAACTTGGCATAAAAAACTAAACTAAAATTTTAAAAACTTAAGCTAATCTATCTTCAGAAAAATTTTCCTTAAAATTAATAATCCATTTAAAACATCTAGATGAATTGATAATTTATAGACTAAATAGAATTAGAACAGCATATGTAAGTGAACAATGAGATCGTTATCAGGCTTTACTCTAATATAGATGAATATTTATACGATAATGTTAGACCAATCAAGGCTATTTGAGTCAATAATCACAATCAAATAGAATACGTCACCAAGCATAGTTGGTAAAAGTAAAAGTTGATAGTGGGAAGATAGATGTACTGATAGTAGTAAGAATAATGAAATACGGTAACAAACGTGGGTAAATAGACTTAGAATAGTAATCACAAAACATTAAAATCATTACGTAATAAGAAGTATGTAAATAATTAGATAGTGAAGAATAAAAACGGAAGGAGGCAGAAAATTCCAAACAAATAATAATATCATTTGTTATGTTCGGTCGTGGAAGGGATAGGTTGGTTACAAATTCCTTATGTACACATAAATCGGGGTGAAATGTACGAACTCCTATGACTTCTGCTATATGAAGGAGACCGGAACAAACTCCGTTGGGAAATGATGGAGGTGTACGATAGATCACTCGATTATTGACTAAAATGGCCTTGATTAGTCTAACATTTTCCTATAAATATTCATGTATATTAGAGTAAAGCCTGATGACGATCTAAACAGAATTGACCAATGATAACAAGTTGAATATGTTTGGGAGAAATGTTAACAATGGAGTAAACATATTAAAATGAATTGATTATTATTTTCTTGTAGTCAAGGTAAAACAAAATTAAATTAAAGTGTTTATCTGACTAGACTTTAAAAGTATCAGATATAAGGAAAGATTTATTGGATGGGTAATACTTAATTGGAAAAAATAAATAAGGAATCTAAATGTTTGTTAAGAAGTGAGTATTTCATTGCAAGGGATTTCGTAAGATTTTGTATAAAGTAAATGAATAAATTGCTTTTTTTAAGTCATTAACATGTAACCGATTTATAAATTTAAAAGATAATGGTATTATTGTAATGTTAAGGGAGTTCGATAAATTTTGAAGAAACTATTGAAGGAATTGAAGACAAACATCAGATTATAGGAGGGATCTGGGTCATCCTTATATATATTGGACAATCATTATGATTACTGAGTTGCGAATAGCTAAGTTAGGAACGAGTTTATTCATAAATCACACTAAGATGAATTTAGAACGTGTTGTATGTACACAGATGAGATATTACTTATTTAAAACATTTTTTCTGAACTCACTTTTAATTGCTCAGTAGGAGCAAGAAACTGTGGGTTAATCTTCTTTATGGTCTTTTGAAAAAGTTTGGAACTATTACCTAATGACTTTTGTCTTGTCATTTTTGTAGTAATTTTGACTTAAGAAATAATAAGTATTCCGTTTTCATCTTCAGCTAAGAACTATCTGGTGTATATTTCCAAGAAATCACTTTAAAATAATAAATCATTTATGAATTACTGAAAATTGTAAATGCATTTAAAATATTTGATCCACATAAATTCTAAACTCTTATTCATTGGATCTGTGGTTACGTATATTATTTATCGAAAAATGCTAAAGTATTGTTGATCAGAAGGGGTTTTGTGGAGATTTTAGTATTTTCATAGTTGAAATCATGAGCCAGTTGAAGCTAGACCACCATCGGTTAAGTGCTCTGGAGCGAGACTGGTAGCTCCTGGGTTCGAATCTCGTGAGTGCGGGATCGTGGATGCGCACTGCTGAGGAGTCCCATAATAGGATGAAACGGCCGTCTAGTGCTTCCAGGTTTTCCTTGGTGATCTAGCTTCAATTGACTCATGATTTCAACTATGAAAATAAACTATTGTTGTTCAATCATCGAAACGTATTGTACTATCCATCTCATCACCTGAAAACCTCCAACTTATAACATACAGAAAAATTCAGGATTATATTTATTTCACTAGATAAATGCAGTTAGAAGTCAATGACTACTTAGTGCAATTCAGAGATAACATTTTCCATGTTTACATTAATTATTCTACTTATTTTGTATTGGTTAGATGCAACGTTATTATAATATTGTAATAATCCTAATTTAAAGATTAGGTTTGGTAAGAAATGACACCGACTGGTCTAGATTAGTTCCAGTAGCTTACTAACGAAAATGAAAGACTTAAACACATTTGAGAATGTTTTCTGAAAGGTTTGACAGTTCTAGAAAGCATGACTAAAACTTTGATGGATACAAAGTAAGAATCTTTCATTACATGATTGAACATATTCCACGTTGGATGAGGAATATTATTTTATGTAGTGCGTAAACAACTACTAATATTTCCGTATTGGACTGAAAAACTGATTTAGGACCCTCATTTTAATGTTTAAGGGATTTTAGTCGAAGGGAAACATTACAATACGTAGCTGTTGTTTGAATCAATCAAATAGATATTCAAACATTATAAAACGACTACATTCCTACCGAACTATGAAAATTGATATTTGTGCGAACTGAACGGTTATTAATAGCTTGAGTTGGTCGAAAATTGTCAGCCATCGATCCTGACCATAATGTATGAGCAACTCGTAATCGCCGAAGAGTTTTTAACTACAGAAAATAAGATTGTACATTAAAATGAAAAAAAAACATCAGGTGCATTAATAACTGAAAACATATTTTAAGTTGTTTAATTTTTTTGCTAAAATGTAGTTTGTTTGTTGGATACAACAAGACTTGACAAAATGTGAATTAACAATTTAGAATATCACTTGGAACAGAATAACTATTATAACTGACAATTTTCATCAGAATAAAATATTTTTAAAGTAGGGGATTGGTTATGTGAAAAGCAATTAATACTTTTTACTATTTTTCTTAGCATAGACTAATATCAACCAGAAAATCATTTAGAACTAGAATGCATTGAATTAATGTTAGATACTCCTTACAAATAATGATGTTATTCAGTTACACTAATGACTTCTTCAGTATACATATTGAGTAGTGTGGAATTCACTAAATGAATAATAAACATATTCATTCTATTTAGTTTCTTCATCTGTAGTCAATTTTTACCTTACTTACGCCTGTTACTCCAAATGGGACACAGGCCACCGACCAGCATTCTCCAACCAACTCTGTCCTGGGCATCCCTTTATAGTTCTGTCCAACTTTTGTTCATTTTTCTCATGTCTGTTTCCATTTCTCGATGTAATGTGTTCTTTGGTCTTCCTCTTCTCCTTTGGCATCCAGGATTCCATGTGAGGGTTTTCCTTGTGACAGGGTTGGATGCTTTCCTCAATGTGTGTCCTATCCACTTTCAGAGCTTCTTCCTGATTTTTTCCTCAACTGAGATCCGCTTTGTTCTCGCTCGCAGTAGGTTGTTGCTGATAGTGTCTGGCCAACGGATCCGAAGTATTTTGCGTAGAGAACTGTTAATAAACACCTGTATCTTCTGGATGTTGACTTTCGTAGTTCTTTAAGTTTCCGCCCCATACAGCAGAACTGTCTTGACATTTGTATTGAAAATTGTGACTTTGGTGTTGGTTGACAATTGTTTTGGGTTCTAGATGTTCTTCAATTGTAGGAATGCAGTCCTTGCTCTGCCAATCCTCGCCTTTACATCTGCATCAGATCCTCGTTGTTCATCAATGATGCTTCCCAGATATGTGAAGGTTTCCACATCCTCCAAAGCTTCTCCGTCAAGTGTGACTCGATTGGTGCATGTTGTATTGTATCGGAGAATCCTGCTTTTCCCTTTGTTTATATTGAGACCTACTACTGCTACATTAGTCGTCTTCTCCTGAATTTGTTGTTGCCTGTGTGATAGAAGATCCAGATCATCTGTGAAGTCTAAATCGTCCAGCTGCATCCTAGCTGTCCACTGTATCCAGTGCTCCTCTCTAGATGTTGTCGTCTTCATAATTCAGTCGACCATCAGGAGAAAGAGAAAGGGTGAGAGTAAGCAGCCTTGCCTGACACTGGTCTTCACTTCGAACGAGTCTATTAACTGTCCTCCATGGACGATTTTCCCGTTTAATCCATCATAAGAATTCCGTATGATATTGACTATCTTCTCAGGCACGCCGTAGTGACTAACGGTAATTTCAGCGAGTTTCTTTGTTGCGTTATACAATTGTCTCATATTTCCTTCTCTTGCAGCCTTTTCCGCCGTCATTGCAAGATTCTCCACATATTTACGTTAGTCAGCCCTGATGCTTCTCTTCACTTGCTTGTTTATTTCTATGTATTCTGCTTGTACCTTGGCTTTCTCTGTTCTTGGTCGGCTGGTATTGATTGCTGCCTTTTTGTCCCTCCTTTCTTCAATCTTATCCAGTGTACCAACAGTGATCCATTCCTTGTGATAGTGTTTCTTGTGACCCAGAACCTCCTGACACGTTGAAGTGATTACCTATCTTATCCCTTTCCAGTTGTTTTCCATAGTAGTTCTTTCTCCGTTGAGTAGATCATGAAAGGCCTCAAACCTATTGCTGAGGGCTATCTTGAATTCGTTGAGTTTGTCAGTATCCCGAAGAAAAGTCGTATTAAACTTTTGTGATGTTGTCCGCCCCGTTTTCCGGTGCTTCTTAAGTTTTAATTTCATCTTGACTACCAGAAAGTGATGATCTGATGCTATATCAGCTCCTCTCCTGATTCTCACATCCTCTATCGACCTTCTGAACTTTTTGTTGATGCAGATATGGTCAATTTGGTTCTGTGTAGTGTGATCTGGTGAAGTCCATGTGACTTTGTGTATGCGTTCATGTGGGAATGTAGTGCCTCCTATGACCAGTTTATTGAAGGCACATAGGTCTGCAAATCTCTCACCATTTTCGTTCTTTTCTTCCAGTTAGTCCATGTCGTCCCATGACGTCTTTGTATCCAGTGTTGTCCATTTCCACCTTGGTATTTAAATCACCCATTAGAATGGCCAAGTCTTTGTTGGGATTGATTGCAGTCTATCGTAGAATTGGTCTTTAACATCTTCGCTGTAGTTGTTGGTAGCCGAATAGCATTGGATGACGTTCATTGTAATACTCTCTTTCTTTTGATGGAGGCTTTGATGATCCTTGGTCCATAAGATCCTCATCCTATAAGTGCATTTTGTGCTTGTTTGAAGAGCATTAATGCAACTCCTTGTGTATGTGGGGCATTTTCTTCTTCATGGCCGGATTATAATAGCAGCTCTCCTGAAGCTAGTCGTTGTTGCCCAACCTGTGTCCATTGTGTTTCACTGATCCCAAGCAACTCCAGGTTGTATCTTTTCATTTCTGCAGCAATTTGGAAGACTCTCCTAGTCTCCCACATTGTACGAGCATTCCATGTACCTGAATAAATGGTTGCTCTGGTTTTCAGAAGGGGTATTGGCCTTGTGACTCCCGAAGAAACTCGGCTTACACTATGAGGCGTCATCAATTTTTTACCAATCATAGTCAAAATATATATTTATTATACTGAGTTAATTTGAGCCTGTTATACATCATTTTCAAATCTCTAGTATTATATTGTATAGGTTTTTAACCAAATTCAATAATCAGACATATTAACTAGTTCTCCAGTGACAATTTTGTTTATCTGTTAATAAATTTGATTTTGATTAGTAGCTGATGGTGTATTGATGATATTTGTTAGATAAGATAGATATAATAGGAAAATGATACTTTTGACATTGTTGACTGGTATGAATGATTGTCCCGACTGTAGTTTAAATTTTATGATATTAAAAAAAAACAAATTAAATCTATTCAATTTATTTAATAACTTTCTCTCTGTTTAAATGAATTGTATATGAAAACTAGTGAAAACCTCGAAACTTCCAGAGGTCACTGATAATAGTGTTTTAACGCTAAAATTTGATTATAAATAGTAATTAAGACTTAGATACTATGTCTAAACTTTTGAAGCCAAGTGAAGTCCTCAGAGTTGTAAAAATTTCATATTCATCAGTTTCAACATTCAAAAGACTTGTTAATCATTGTCAGAAGCTAATTTATTACATCATAGAATAACAAACCATCAATGAAACTCAGTAGTTTATTAATTGTCTTGTTCCTCCTAAATCTGAATTGAAAATTTGACTCAGAGTTGTTATGTCTCGTAGGTTGAACGCTTTATTCAGATCTTACGCTATTCGGATAACCCCCAGGCTAGCACTACTCAGCGACTTGAAGACCAGAGAGAGGACACGAGTAACAGAGAAAACCTTTACTGCAAGGATCATCTTTGTACAGAAAATCGTAGGTATTTATAGATGTTTGCTTAAGTTAAGTCAACATCCTAATTCAGCCAATCCAATTAACGACATAAATTGCTACTGACCAATGGTAGCATGCCACGTTGGAACTCCAGAATGTTCTGTCGTACTCTGATTGGTTGGGACTCTTTTTGAGCCTCTGGAGGCTCTGTTGGAGTTCGCTGGAAGCCGACTTAACACCTCCTCCGAATAAGACTTCTTCCTAGGGTCAACTTGTATTTTGATAACTGGATTGCGACGTCGTCCCATTATTCTCGTCGTCTTCCCTGTCCACGGCTTCCTTCCAGTGTTCTTTGGCGTTTGTGGCATTGGTGCGTCTAAGATTAAATCTAACGGAAAATTTGGCGGGTTACTTCGATTCTGCATCATTCTTTTGTCTTTAAGGATTTGATTTGTGTGTCGTATACACATCCCAAAAGTTCCTCGAACTCTGTACAGAACTCTTCCCAATTTGTGTACGACTTCTCCCGGCTCCCATCGGTTCTTCCCGATGTATGATTTAATGTAAACTTTGTCGCCGACATTAAAGTTCCGAATACTTGGATTGTGACTGCGCTCATCAACTAATTTGGATGGCAACATGGCATTGGAGACGGTTCGAACACGTCTTCCGAACATGACTTCCGCAGGAGACTTGCCGTCGGGAACATTCGGATTCGAAGTGGATCTGTAGGATGTTAAAAATTTCGTGATCACCTGCCCAGTCGTCCCTTCGCCTCCCCCCTTCAGTAATGCTCGTTTAAAGGTGCCCACGACGCGTTCTGCTTGTCCGTTAGATTGTGGATGAGAGGGTGGAGAACGAAGATGAGTTATTCCGTTTGCTTTACAGAAATGCTTACACGATTCTGCGGCGAATTGCGAGCCGTTGTCTGTTACTAAGGTCTCTGGTACTCCGAAACAGCTAAACAGGGTAGACAGCTTGTAGATTGTTTCTGAGGTTGTACAATTTGGCATGGTATATACTTCCGGCCATTTAGTAAATGCATCTGCGATAATTAGAAACATTTTTCCTTGGATTGGACCAGCAAAATCAGCATGAATTCTTTCCCAGGGTCCTGCAGGCGTAAGCCAATACTGAGGTTCGCATTTCACAGGATTTTTAGTGGCTTGAATGCATGATGGACAGTTACGGCATTTATTCTCGATATCTTTGTCCATTGACGGCCAATAAGCATAACTACGAGCCAATGATTTCATTTTATTTATTCCAGGATGGCCACTGTGAATCTGCTTGAGGACCTTGAGACGTAATAACTTCGGAATAACAATTCGATCACCGAACATCACCGAACAAGAGTGAAGTTGAAAACTTTTCATACGAAAAGCGAAATGCAAACAATAGAAAACTCACAAT